CGTCTGTTTTTTGTCATCAAGGTTTGATGACTCCGATCTCCCCCTTTCTACATTTAAGTTATAACCATCATTCGCCGTCGTCTTCTCGTGGAACCGACCTACGAATCTCTTCACCTAACACTTCTACTCGAAATGGAAGTAATCCCAACATAATTCCCTTGAGCTATAAATGCTTGTTTCGTACATACACGAACACATGAAAGTGCGTAATCACACACAGGCAGACTGACACGTATATTTGTATGAAGTGTATTCACCTTTGAAGATGTCAAGTCCAAGATGGTGACACATGCTTCTCGATTGACATATGACTTGGAATATTCAGAATAACTTTGCAGCTCACTAAAAAGCATAAATATAGGGTATGTGGACAGCGATGTGAAAACCAAGATGTCGTGGCCGCATTTTGACATCAGCCTCCTTTCGGTGTGTAGGAGTGGTCTAACCTCGTTTTCGCAATTTGATCGTGTTGTCAGGACGACTTAGTTGGACGCTGCTTGCCCGAAGTCCTCTGCTACACAAGTCAGCATAATTCCTAGTGTCGGACCATGGACTGCCTACATTCCCATAACTTTACTCGGCATCGTCAGTGAGCCCTGCCACTCTCTGTACCGAGCTACAACTCGTGAAAGTATCGAATTCACTTGTTGCGTTGACGCATTGTAGCTGAAGGTAGTGCTGAGAATGGCAAGACTCACTGACGATGCCGTTGAAGCGTCTGGCAATGGACCGAGCCCACAGTCCGACTCTGGGAAGTAGGACAAGATGCGAAAACGAGTTCAGACAACTTGCAGATAGACAGCATTTGGGCATAATACTTCGAATTTCCTTGATTCATTATCTTCAATATGCTGCTCATGAGATTTCCTTCATACAACAGACGAAAGATCAGTCGGTTTTGGCCGGGATCAAAGGAGATTGCCTCAGAAATAGCTTCGATAATAATGTTTTAGACAATCCCATCGTCAGCTGGCCAAGAGGAGTCTTCCGTCGCCTTTTGGTGGCAGCAACTTTCCAATCCGTTTACTCGACACTTCCACTCGAAGTGGAAATGAGCACAACTGAGGAAAGCTGTCAGAGAGACGAAAACCCCCGAGGCGCCTTTGGACTATTACCTGACCATTGGAAAGCGTTCTGCTGGCATATACATCAGCATCTAATCATAGCATATTGGATTGTGATTGAACAAAACTAATCTCCGTCAATAAGGGTTCGCATAAGGCGATCATATAATCAAGTCTTATGATAGTGTTGAATTTTATTTAGTCTTGCATTCTAAAATATTTCTTATACCGACTTAATTGGAGTGGACTACAGATTCCTAATTGTCTGTGCTGGCCTCACCAGTAAACACGAATGGATCAGCATATATTTTCGACATATTACGATTCTATGAGTAACTCTTAATCTAAATCTACCGATAGTCTCGAAACCTACTTACTATGAATATAAGTAAAGTAGTCGATTTTAGTTAAAAAATAAAATTTGCTTTCATCTAAAATCACATTTTAAATAGGATACTGTTGGGAAAGGCTTATAGTGCCATTACATTTTGTTTAGAAGAAGAGTTAGTTGGATACCATTCATAAATTGGTCTCACTGTAAGTCAAGGGAGGACTGAATTGGAGTTTGTATTATTGGATTGTTCGAAGAAGTTCTTAGCTAATTGAATCGGGTCTTATGATGCTGTTGAATTTTATGTAGCCTTGCATTCCAAAATATTTCTTATACCGACTCAATTGGAGTTGACTAGAAATTCCTTCTTGTCTCGGCCGGTCTCACCAGTAACCACGAAGGTAATTAAACCTGAATAGATGAGCATATATTTTCGACATATTACGATTCTATGAGTAACTCTCAATTTAGATATACTGATAATCTCGAAACCT